GAGGAGGAGGGGGAAGCTGAAGAGGGACATGAGGAGGAACATGATGATGAGGAGGAGGAGAAGGAAGAGAAGAAGGAGGAGGAGGAGGACAAGTAAGAGCAGGAGGAGGAGGAGGAAGAGGCAGGAGGAGGAGGAGGAGGAGCAGGAGGAGGAAGGCCTGTGCCCTCCCACCGCTCGTGCCTCCCGCCACGCAGTATGGGGGTTGTGGGGGGGGGGCGGCGGCGAACGTGACGCTCCGGCCGCGGGCCGGGCGGGGCCGAATCTGTCGACGGCTGGTTTTTCGGCCAGAGGACTGGCTGCCCAGGAGGGCGCCCTGCTCTCCACGCCGGGGGGGTGCAGGAGGAAGGGGGGGGTGCAGGAGGAAGGGGGGGGTCGGAGGAGGGAGGGGGGAGGGGAGGAAGGTATGGGAAGCGAATGGGAGATGAGGGCGGCTGCTCCACGCCAGGGGGCGCAGGAGGATGGTGAGGAGGAGGAGGAGGAGGAGGAGGAGGAGGAGGAGGAGGAGAGAGGAGGAGGAGGAGGAGGAGGCCAGGGACTCCTGGAGCGAATGCTCCAGGAGTCGCCTGGCTCTAAGTCTGGTCACCCCCCCGGGGCCGTTCGGCCCTGGGGGAGGAGGGCGGCATCCGACAGATCATTTCGCCTTCAGCTCGTCAGGAGGAGGAGGAGGAGGGAGGAGGAGGAGGAGGAGGAGGAGGAGGAGGAGGAGGAGGAGGAGGAGGAGGAGAAGGAGGAGGAGGAGGAGGAGGAGGAGGAGGGGGAGGAGCGGAGGAGGAGGAGGAGAGGAGGAGGAAGAGGAGGAGAGGAGGAGGAGGAGGAGGAGGAGGAGGAGGAGGAAGGGATACCGATACGGCTGCTCGTTCTCGAGAACCTTTATTGCCACGGTTAAAAATGACCTCGGAGTTCTGGTCGGAGCACACCCCAGGAGAGGTCTGGAGAGTTGAGGTAACGGCATCTTGCCGTTACCCAATGGAGAGGGGGGGGATCTGAAAAGGAGGCAGACAGAGGAGGAAGAAGCGGTGAGGGATGGAGGAGGAGGAGGAGGAGGAGGAGGAGGAGGAGGAGGAGGAGGAGGAGGAGGATGAGGAGGAAGAGGAGAAGGAGGAGAAGGAGGAGGGGGAGGAGGAGACGGGGGAGTAGGAGGAGGAGGACGAGGAGGAGGAGGAGGAGGAGGGATAGGTGATAGGAGGAGGAGGAGGATGAGGAGGAGGAGGAGGAAGGAGAGGAGGAGGAGGAGGAGGTGGAGGATGAGGATGATGATGAGGAGGAGGAGGAGGAGGAGGAGGAGGAGGAGGAGGAGGCTGGTGGAGGATGGAGAGAGGGCGAGTGATGAGGAGAAGGGGTGGGGGGCAGACATGGAAGGCAAAGATGACGAGGATGAGGGGTGAGGAGGAGGTGTAGGCAGGATGAGGAGGAAGAGAGGATGGGGGAGGAAGAAAAGGAGGAGGTGGAGAAGGAAGAGCCGAGTGGGGCAGGATGAGGAAGGGCCAGGAGGAGGCAGAGGATGATTTTACTGGATCGGAGGAGGAGGAGGAGGAGGCTGGTGAAGGCAGTCTGCCGGAGGAGGCAAGAGGCAGGAGGAAGAGGAGGAGAGAGGGACCAGGATGGGTTGGATGCCCAAGAGGGCGTCTTTTCCCACCGTGACCGCCGACGACATCGGCAACGTCAAATATGTTTTGTTTCAAACAAGTTGGGGGCTTCCATGAGGCTCCTTTTCGCCACTGCTGGATCCGCGTCAAGACTTGGTCTACTCCACCCAAGACTAATCCAGGGGCCAACGTTCGACCCTGGAGCTGACCTCTTCGCGTCGCGAAACAATATGGCATTGAGATTTTTGCCCTTGTTCGGCCTTTGGGCCTGGGGGCAACGATTGGAGGGCCCGAAGAACAGCATCCAAAGTGTTTCGGGGTGACCTGACCAATCGGTGACCAGGTGGGTGCCAGAAGGACATGGGGGGGTCGAAAAGTGTCGTGGTGACCACGTGGAAGCGAGGTGGAGGGGCGGGATGGGCTTTGGGCCGAACATGACTTTTCAGGTGGGGCTGATCTAAAGCATGATTCAAAGGGGCGGGGGTGCTGTGGCCAGGTTGTGACCAGGCGGGGGCGAGGTGGGGAGGCCAAGGTGGATTTGGGGCCGGGTATTCTTGGGCGGGGAGGCGTGGGAGGAGGATGCAAATGGGCGGAGGTGCCGTGGCTGAGCGGCGACCAGGCGGAGGCGAGGTGAAAATTATCGGGTACGTGCCCGAAGAACAGGACCACGAGGGGCGGGGGGCCTTGGCTAGGTGGCGACCAGGTGGAGGCGAGGTGGGGTGGGGATGACGCGGGTATGTTTTGGGTGAGAAATTGTTGGTCGGGGGGCCTGGGACAGGATCCAAAGGGCTGGGGGTGCCGTGGCCAGGTGGTGACCAGGTGGGGGCGAGGTGGGGGGGTGGGGGGGCCGAAAGTTGTCCGTGGGGAGGGCCCGAGGAACAGGATCCAAAGGGGCGGGGGTGCCGTGATGTGGTGACCAGGTGGAGGCGGCGGGGCGGGGGGCGGGGCTGATTTTGGGCATAAAATCTTTGGGTGGGGAACCCGAATAACAAGATCCAAAGGGGTTGCGGGGTGCGTGGCCAGGTGGTGACCACGTGGAAGCGAGGGGGGGGCGGGGTGAGTGTGGGTCGAATTAATCGTCGGGGGGGTTGTTCAAACAGAAGCATCCCCACCCGTCTTGAGTCAGCAGCGCCCCGCGTTTCCTCTCCTCTTCCCGCCCTTCCTCCCACCTGGCAGTTCGGCACACACCTCACATGCTTCGTGGTTCCACCGAAGGTCCAAGTGGGAGGGTCCGCATGGCGCCACCGCACGAATTTCAGCACACCCCTCACACGTTTAGTGGCCCCATCGACCATAGAGAGCTCCGCGGTATGCCCCAGTGGGAAGGCCCGCGTGGCGCCAGCGCACTAATTTCGGCACACCCCTTCACACGTGTCGTGGCCCCAGTGGGAGCTCCACCGAAGGCCCCAGTGGGAGAGTCCGCATGGCGCCATCGGACCTTACCTCTCACACGCTTCGTGGCCTCACAGGGAGCTTCAAAGAAGGCCCCAGTGGGTGGGTCCGCATGGCGCCACCGCACCCACTGCGGCACATCTCACCACACGCTTTGTGGCACCATAAGGAGCTCCAGCAAAGCTCCCATGGTCCGCATGGCGCCACCGCATCCATTTCGGTGCATCCCTCACACGCCTCGCGGCCCCATAAGGGGGGGGGCTCCACCGACGGCCCCAGTCTGAGGGGTGCGCAGGTCCGCAGTGCGACACCCGTGGCGGCACGCCCCTCGCCTGCCGCGTGGCCCCACGGGGAGCTCCACCGAAGGCCCCACAGTGGGAGGCTCCGCGTGGCGTCTCCGCGCTCAGTTCGGCACGCCCCTCACACGCCGTCGTGCCCCCCTCCTCCCTCCCGCTTGCCCCGTGACAGCGCTGCAGCTGCGTGTGGCTGAGCCCCTCGCCGGGATCTCAATGTAATGTCCCTCTCTCTCCCTTCAGATAGGCCCTCCTCCTCCTTATTCTCCTCCTCCTCCTCCTCCTCCTCCTCCTCCTCCTCCTCCTCCTCCTCCTCCTCCTCCTCCTCCTCCTCCTCCTCCTCCTCTCTCTCGCTCTCTTGTTCTGGTCCCGGGGGGCGCCCGTCGCCACGGCTGGGCTCGCGGTCGCAGGGTGGAACGGGAGCGCGCTCTGGGAGAGGACCGGAGGATGCTCCCCCAGAGGATGGGGAGGGGCGGATCGGGGGAGGAGGGCGGTGAGGGGGGAGGGGGAGGGGAGGGGGGCAGCGTTCGGGGGGAATGGGCTCAGGGAGGGGGACGCATCGACCCCCCAATCGCCCGTTCATCGCCGATGGGTGTCTGGCAGCCCACCCCGCCAAGGAGCGTGCCCCTTCGCTATCGTGGGCCCATCGCTGATCTATCGGCGGTGCATCGCACATGTCTGATCGATGTTTCTCTCCCTGGGCCAGTCGCCCCGTACAGCTCTTTCTCAGAAGGGAGGGTGGGGGGGGGGCGCTGACATCCGGGCGCCGCGAGACAAAGACATGACGGGCTGCTGTTCAGGACGGGGAGGGGAGGTGAATAGAGTGTGTGGAGAAGACGGATATGAAGAATGATGATGATGATGTTGATGATGATGATGATGATAAAGTTGATGGTGGTGGTGATACTGTTGATGATGAGTATCGTGTCGATGATGCTGATGTTGATGTTGGTGCTGATGCTGATGCAGATGATTCTGGTTAGTAGGATGATGATGATGATGATGTTGATGATGATGATGATGATGATGTTGATGATGATGATGGTGTCTATAATGTTGTTGTGGATGATGATGGTCATGATGATGATGTTGATGTTGGTGATGATGTTGATGCTGATGCTGATCATTATAATGATGATGATTATGATGTTGATGCTGATACTGATGATGACTACACCGTTGGTGATGCTGATGGTGTTGATGCTGTTGATGTTGGTGCTGATGCTGATGCTGATGCTGATGATGTTGAGTATCATGATGCTGGCGATGACCATGCTGATGATGGCTATGATGACTATGATGATGCTGCTGCTGATGATGATGAGGAGGAGGGGGAGGAGGAGGAGGAGGAGGAGGGGATGAGGAACAGTCGATCGATCGAGCAGTCGGGCTGAGCTCTGGGCCAAATACTTCGCGTCGGCCAGAGCGGCATGGTGTGATCAACCTAGCTTGGCCCCGCTGTATTCGCTTTGCGGGCGGTACACCCACCACTGGGTCCGCTTGCCCTACACCCTCACCGACCTTCCCAACGAAGAGGTCTGCTGGGTGGCAGGACTCTCTTCTCACAGATACCTTCAGGCTTACTTCCCCGTTCCCTTTGCCCTTGCCTGGTCCACCTCTCCCCCATCCACGCCCCTTCTCTAGGTCTGAGGGTGTATCAAACAGTTACCACCCTGGAAAAGGAGGGCAACGGGACAGAACAACTTGCAGGGCCTCATTCAGTCTGGGTAGGGATTTGGAGTCTTCCCGGAATGCTAAACTTCTTTTTCCAGCACTGTTATTGAACGCTCTAGGGATTGCTTGTTTGGTGATCTCGGGTCTGCCTAGGGTGTTTTCCAAGGAGTGCTGCTGCCTGCCACTCACTGAAGTTCGATATTCCCAAGCTCTCGCACCGGCGGTCCCTTTTTGCGGCTCCCTCGGTCTTGAGCTTGTCTGTCATTATACTGCCAATGTGAGATTGCTTCTCGCTGAACTCAAACTGAAAGCGACAAGTTGCCGCGTGGGCTCCAGCGCCCTTTTGCGCTTCACCCGGTCCAGGGTCTGTGAGCAGCTCTGGAGCCAGGGAAGTTGAGGACCTGAAGCGGGAGGAGAAATTGAGTGACTGACGAACACCAGGACGGAGGAAGGGCAGGGGGCTGGGAAGAGAGAGAGAAGGCGGTCGGTCGGACTCGGCATTGCAGCAGTCTGCGCGCCGTCTTGCTGGATGGCTCTCGCCCCGCGATCCCGGGGGGGTGCACTTGTAGAAACCGCCACCCTCCCCAGCGAGGGGAGGCCGAGCCCCGAGCCCCCGGCGGCCCAACGCGAGGGCGAGCGGAGCCCCTGCAAGGGCGGAGGAGGGAGGAGGCCCCGGGGTGGAGGAGGGGTGGCCGAGCGCCACTCCTGCCAGCTCGCAGCTTCCCCGCCCGGTGTGTCCTGGCCACAGGGGGGCAGAGAGGACGGGGAGGCGTCTTCTCTTTGTAGGCGTAGTGGCACGCCACTGTGGCCGTGGCTGCCTGGGCCCGCAGAGGGTCCCGCCGCGGCCTAGTGCGGCCGGGCGGGACTGCTCCCGACAGTCCCACAGCGCCAAGAGAAAAAGGGGGATGGAGGACGAGAACTTCTTCTGGCCCGCCTCCGCCCCTCGCCTTCAAGTCCCTGCCCTCGCTTTGCAGGTGCTCTCCGCTTCGGGCTCCCTCGAGAGACCGTGAGACAAGCGCATCGGCTGGCACCGTGGACTCCGGGCGTCTTGCCCCCCTCGTAGCTCTCGGAGGGGCTCGATGTGTATATAGCGGGGACGCTCATCAAGAAACCATGTGGTTTTCGCCTGGGTACCCTGGTTGTCTTGGCTCAGCACGCTGCGCAGTGACTTCCCTCGGCCGATGAAGAAGCTGCTGCGTTCAGGGAGCTCTAGGTTCCTCCCCCCGTGTGCATCTCGCGTGCGAGTTTTCAGTGCTGGGTTTCTTGCGACGGTTTCTCGCGGCCGCGTGCGCACGATGCGCCACGTCGCAAGGTCGGCCAAGGAGCCTATGAGCTCGGCGCAGGACTTCGGTGTGTAGGTACTCAAGCGTCCCACAGGTTGGGCAGCTGGGGCGTCCAAACACCGAGCTGATTTGCCGACCTGGCGACGTTGTGCACACATGGAGGCCCTACCGAGACCCCGTCCACCCCCGCAGCCACGCCTGATCAGCGCCACGGGTTCGGGGCGGGGGCGTGCGCGCGAGCGCGCGTGGAGAGCTCGCCCTGCCAGTTGGGACGCCGTCGTCGGCAACGCCTCGGAGGGCATCGGCATCGGCCCAGCGGACTCGGGCACGGGCATCGTCACCCCACCACTTCCGACCTCAGCCGAGGATCGATGATCGAGGTTTGGGGCGGATCGGGTCTGGTGACGTTGTGTGGCGTTTGGTGTCCAAGGTCATCCCCGTCGCAGGGCCTGGGTCCGCCTCGTAGTTCTGGACGCTTCGCGTACGCCACCCGCCCACTCGGATACCTTCCCCTGACGAGCTGTACTGACCCGGAAAATGTGAGAGCATCCAGTGGAACACAGGTGAGTCGGCCTTCATGTTGAATCTAGGAATCAGCGTTCGTATAAAGATCCAGGGGTAGAGGTGTTGAGCCTGTCGTCGAAGCAGGACAAGGATGCGGAGGCTAACGTGGTGAAGGAGGATGGGGAAGGCTGGAGGGGGATGGAGAGGGATATGGGTGAAGGAAGAGCAGGAGGAGGAGGATGAAGAGGAGGAGGGGGAGGGGGAGGATGGAGGAGGAATAAGGCGACAACGACGGCGGGAGTCAGCTCTCAAGACCTTCACGAAATTGTCCTTTTCAGAGCCTCCTGGAGCCATACTGGAGTCCTCATGGGATCATTTTAGGCGATGTCGGGGCCCTCTCGGGGGCCTTGAAGGGCATCGCTCAAACAAGAGACGGTCCTCAATTAGCCCTTCCCTGTCAGAGCCCGATCTATACCCTCTTGGACTCCTCTTGGGATGCCCTTGGAGAGCTCTTGGGCGCTCCCTTGGAGGCATGTTGGAAGACATATTGAGCCATCCTTGGCTACCTTGGGCCATATCAGAGGCCATCTTGCAGCCACCTTGGGCCATCTTGCACGCTCTAAAGCTTCGCGGGACCCCTCTGTCCAGACCCAGTGGAGGAGGTAATTAGGCGGAAGGGCCAAGTTCCCGACGGGAGCGCCAGGAGCTGCCTCGCTCACTCTCTCCCGACTTCCCACCATCTCAGTAGCACTCGAGAATCGGCATTGGGCAGAGGCCGCCATCGGATGGGCAACCATCGGTAACGAACGCAGACGCTAGGCGCGCGAGGATTGCGAGGAACGCCGCGCCATCCAGATGCGCCACGCGCACTGGACGCGCCAGGCGATCCAGGGGCCCAAGCGTGCCAGGCGCGCCACGCGTCCAAGTGTGCCGCGTGCTCCCAGGCGCGCGGGGTGCGCCACGTCGCGACGCGACGCGCGCAGGGTGCGCCGGGTGGTGACACGAGCGCCAGCACACGGTACAGCCCATGCCGGGCAATACGTCGAGTTTCCTCCATCAAGCGGCAGATGCACGGTGGGTGAGCATCGTATGTGGCGTGCGCACTTGCAACCCACTTGTCTGGGCTTGAGGTGTGGGCAATAGGCTTACGCCCCCAGCATCCTTGTCAAACGCAACAGGCGAGCACCGCTTCAGGATTGCCCTCGTATCCGCGTGCGCGGTCTTTCTCAATGGAGGTCCCGCCGTCGCGTTGACCTCATTCTGAGTCGTTTGGCCTTTCGGAGTCGTATTCCCGCTGTGCCATGCCGCTGCAGACTTGGCCTCGTATGCGCGTTCGTGGTCCATGTCAATGGCGGTCCCGCTGTCGCGTTTAAGCCTTTCAAGGAAGAGGGCCCCGTTGTGATTTTGACCTTCTGGAATATGTCGTCGCCGTCGGTCTGGCGTCTTGGGCCCTTTACAACGGTGCACCCGCAATGCCTGGGCCTCATTTCCAAGTAATGTGCTCTTCGACATTGCGGATAGGCTGCAGTTATGACTTCTTGTTCCAATTGTCGTAGTCTTCCAATCCTGTTCCTGTGCGTCTGGTGCGTGCGGATGGTGCTTACACCGAAGTGCCTCCAGCCCTCGCGAGTCACGCTGTCGCTTCGGCGCCAGCGGCCATATCCATGCTAAGCTCCTGCTCTGGTGTTTACGTTTGCGTTTTCGCGTTGGCATTCTATGTATTTCGTGGTCCTAGTCTGGTCTGCGCGGGTGCTCTTTACACCCGGCTTCTTCCAGCCTGTTCAAGTCGCGTTGCCGCTTCTGTGTCCGTCACGTTCGTGTTCTTGCTGTTGTTCGCCCTCGTCCTCCTCCCTCATCGTTATCCTCCTGGTCCTCCTGCTCGTCCTCCTGCTCACCCGTCACCTCCTCCTTTCCGATTGCAAACGACACGATGGGGTCTTTTTCTGTTGGAGTCCCAGGTCGGTTGCGACACGCGTCCGCGAATAGAGCAACACCAGCGCAGTGGAAAGGGATGGGAGGCAGGGGTTCACCACCCACCAAACCACCCCAACCCAACCCGAAGGCCTCAATCTGCCCTCCATTTCCAGTTAGGGGGGGTCGGGGAGCATAGAAAACAGACACATGGAACCCGCACCCCCCCCCAACCCGAAATTCGAGTCTTCGGGTTGGGTTGGGGTTGTCTGGTAGGTAGTCAGGGGTAGGATGTCGGATCTGGCGCGAGCGCACCCCCAGCTTGCTCTCCTCCCCCTCTCCCCGCCTCCTCCTGCCAGGAGGCCGGGCGGCGCCGCCGGGCGCCGCGACCGCCGCCGGCGGCCGAGTACGACTGCACCGACGGCTACTTCGGGTGGCAGCTGGCGCCGACGCTGCCGCGCCCCACTCCTCGGAGGGCGCCAGCTGCACAGCAGCACCGATCCTGGCAAGGCCGACGCATAGCGTAGGATGTGCTTGCACGCTGTCGAGGAGAGGGTGAGTTGAAGCAACGACGTCTTTTTGGTCGGGGGGCCCCCTCGTCGCCATGGCAGGACGCAGCTCGGAAAATTGCTGCGTTTGGACCAAGGAGGGGGTCGGGGACTGATTTCGAGATGCCGTTGTCTCATCTCGCCCTTCTCCGATACACAGATCCTGAGACTAGGATGGGCCTTGCAAGGACCAGTGTGGATGTACAGCTGGCGTCCGTCCACCTCCGCCATCCCCGCCCAGGGTCCAGGCCTCGAGGATATAGGCTCGAATGTTTTGGACACCTCTGGTCCGTTTCGTTTTGCAGCAAAGGCGGAGCGCCGACAGAACGAGCGAAAACGAATACAAAACCAGAGCGAAGAAACACCGCTTAGCTCGAGTCCTGATGCGAAGCTATCGCAACAGAGGTTTGCCGCTCTCCCATTCTTCGCTTTCCTGCTTATTCCGCCGCATCCTTCTCATCCTCATCGTCGCGCCTCATCTTTATCCTCGCCCCTCTTCTCCTGGAATTGGAAGATCAGACGTCGGCGGTCTTCCTCCTGGCGGCTCCTCCGGCGCCCCCCCTGGCGCGCTCCGCGCGACAGGGAGGGGGGTCACGCCGATCCAAGAAATCCGCGTGGACCTTTGGATGTTGATGTGTATGCAGCTGTTCTTCCTCCGGGGAAGTCCACATAGTAGCAGTGGAAGTCACAATGTCCTCCTGCTCGTCTCCCTTTCCAACTCCGTGTCCTCGTACTCTTCCTTGCTATTGCTTTTTGCCCTCCGCTACAATTGAGATGACTGCCTCGCTGCGTGTTCACATCTCCTGCTGCTGCCAGTGATGGCACTCATCAGACAACGCTCGTACGGAAGGGCTCTTACCTGTACGCTAAGGGATTGCCATGCTTACGGTGGTCGGCCGTTGGTGTTTGCATTCGTACGTGTCCTGGAAATCGGTTTCGGTTTCGTGTTCGTGTCGTGCGTGCGGGCGAGGCGAAGCTGCGCGTGATCCTCCTGTAGCTAGGCCGAAGTAGGAGCGAAAGTCCGTTCCCGTCCGCCGGTGGCTGGGAGGTGTCCCAGTTGGGCCGGACGGTGTCCCGGGTGTCAGTATATACGGAGCGAAAGTCCGTTTTCCGTCCGCCGGTGGCCGGGAGGTGTCCCAGTAGGGCTGGGCGGTGTCCCAGGTGTCCCGGGTGTCCTGGGAGTCCAGGCGCTAACGCATGTCGCTAATTTCATAATTCATTTGTTTCGGCGCATGCGGCGGGTTTTCTTATCCAATCCAGCTTATCATATCCAATCCATCTTGTCCAATCCAACCCATCTTATCTTATCCAAGCCATCTTGTCCTATCTTATTTCATCCCACCTAATTCAATCCACCCAACCCAATCCATCAATTTATTTGTTTCTGCGCCTGCGGCGGGCCAATCAAATCCATCTTATCTTATCCAATTCATTTCTTCCAATACAACCCATCTTATCTTATCCAATCCATCTCATCCCATCCAATCCAGTCCACCCAACCCAATTCATCAATTAATTGTTGTCGGCGCCTGCGGCGGGCTTTCTTATCCAATCCAGCTTATCTTATCCAATCCATCTTGTCCGACCAAATGCATCTTATCTCATACAAACCGTATTGTCCCATCTTGTTGTATCCAACCCAATCCAATCCATCCAACCCAATCCATCAATTCATTTGTTTCTGCGCCTGCGGCGGGCCAATCCTATCCATCTTATCTTATCCAGAGAAACAGAGAGAGAGGGAGAACGAGAGAGACATATAGAGAGAGAGAGAGAGAAATACAGAAATAATGAGAGGGATGAGATCTAGGTTTCAGGCTGGAGGTCAGTCAGGGTGGGCATTTGATCCCAATCCTCTCCCCAACCTCCTTATCGCCCGCAGGGCGGTCATATAGGTATACAGGGCTATGCGTTCTGCCCACGGTCTTCGCTGTTTAAAATTAAAAGTTTGGACTCATGGGCCGGTGCCGCTTGGACTCCTAGGCATTGTTGCTTGGAATCCTACGCCCACGTGTGCTTCCCATGGCCGTTGCTGCCTGGACTCCTATGCATTGTTGCTTCATTCCCTGCGCGTGTACTCCCGTGCGCGGACGCCTGCGGCCAGAGTTCAGCCGTGGTTGGTTGGACTTCTGTGTTTGGACTCCTGCGCATCATTGATTTGTTTTCCACGCTCGAAGACAAACAACTGCATGGAACAACTGTCGGAGCTCCGCGCGTATTTCTTGGATTGGCGCTGGGTCTCCCTGGCGCCGCCTCTGGTGCGCTTCGCGCGAAACTGAGGGGGGTCCACCGCCGATCCAAGAGATGCGCGCGGACCTCCGCTAATTCATGTTAATACTGCGCTATCTTGTTCCATACGCGTGGACTCCTGTACGCAGACTCCTGTTGCCCTTTGTGCTGCTCGCGGCCGTTGTTGCCCGGAGTCCTGTGCCTGTCCCATGCTGCGTTGGGGTGTCGGCTCATACGCGTGGATCCTTATACGGAGCGGACGACTCTGTCGTCCAGCCCAGGCGGTCGCCCTCTTCCTTCCCCATCGGCGAATGCAAGAGCAGCGGCGCGCTAGCAGGCCAGTCGTGACACTTGCAAGCCACCAGGGCGCGCACTGGCACCCGTGCCCGTGCTCGTGGGCAACCTGCGGCGCTCGCAGGATCACTGTAGCGCGCGCGCGCCACTGTGGCGTTGGCAGGGCTCGACTCCCCTCGTCGCCAGGTGGTCACAAGCGTGGCGTCGCCTTTTGTCCTGAGGGGCTGTCCTTGGCTGCCTGGTTCCTACCGCAACCGTCACCGTGTTGCGCGGTGGGTCGAGTGGTCGGTTGCGCAGTGGGTCGCGAGATTGGCAGCGCGTGACCAGGTTGTGCCGTGGGTTGTTGTTGTTCGGTAAGGCGTTGACACCGGCCCCGGTTAGTTGTTGAGATCTTCTTCTTCTTCTCTCAAAACTCAAGTGCTTATCCTAGAGGGTTAGCAGAGACCGAGGGCATGCCGCAAGGGGCCGGAGAAGGGGTTGGCACTGGGGCGGCAGCGCAAGGTGCCCCACGGGGCCAGAGAAGGGGTTGGCATTCTTGGCGCGTTTCCAAATTTCTCGCAGTATTTCTGTTTTTTTGGTCAGGATTCCTTTGGATTTCTGAGGACTCCTCTGGACTCTCTAGGATCTCCAAGGATTCCTTAGGACCCCCTTGGAGTCCCGAGGATTCCTCTGGATCCTCTAGGATTCCTCAGGCTTCTTCCGGAATTCCCGAGATTTCTCAGGATCCCCCAGGAATCCTTGGGATCCCAAGTGATTTTTCAGGATATCCCCATGGGGTTCTCAAGATTCCGCTGGGCTCTTCAGGATTATTCAGGATATCTTCGAATTCTTCAGGACCCCCAAGGATTCCTCAGGACACTTCAGGATTCCTCAGGATCCACCATGTCTCCTCAGGACGCCTACGGACTCTTTAGGATCCCCAATGATTCCTCAGGATCCCTTCAAGGTACCCCTCAAGGTCCATAAGGATTCCTTAGCATTCTTGAGGATTCCCAAGGTTCCCTCAGGACCCTCAACGATTCCCCCGGATCCCCCAGGCTTCTTCTGGACTCATCAGGTTTCCTTTGGATTCGTCAGGATTCCTCAGGACCCTTCAGGATTCCTCAGGACTCCTTCCGAGTCCCAAGGATGCTCCAGATCCCGCAGGAATTCGGCGGATCCCCAAGGATTCTTCTGGATTTCCCCATGGGGTTCTCAGGATTCCGTGGGGCTCCTCAGCATTCTCCAAGATATCTTCGAATTCTTCAGGATGCCCAGTGATTTGTCAGGACTCTTCAGGACTCCCGAGGATTCCCCAGGACTCCCCAGGACCGTCCCCCTCCAAATGAGTCCGATGGATTCTTCCTCAGGATCCACAGCCTTTCTTCAGGACTCCCCAAGGTTCCTCAGGATGTTGAAGGCCTTTTTCGGTTTCCCAGGGATTCCTCCGGATCCCCTCAGGGTGCCCCTCAGAAACCCTTCAGGACCCGTTAGCATTCTTCAGAATTCCAGAGGATTCATCCGGATCCCCAAGGCTTCCCCTGGACTTTTCAGGACTCCTCAGGATTCGCCCGGATTCTTCCGGATCCCCCAGGATTCCTCCCGAGGCTCCAGGGTTCCTCAGGATCCCACAGGAACCTTTGGGACCCCAAAAGGATTCTTCAGGATCTCCCTCGGGTTTCTCGGGGCTCCGCTGGGCTCTTCAGGAACCCTCAGGACATGCGAGGGGTCTTCAGAAATCCCCTAGGCTTCTTCTGGGCTCATCAGGATCCCTTTGGATTCGTCAGGATTCCTCTGTGCACCTGAGGACTCTTCAGGATCCCCGAGGACTCCTCAGGATTCCCCAGGACCCCCCCTCCAAAAGAGTCCTACGTATTCCTTCTCAGGATCCACGATGATACTTCAGGATCCCCCAAGGTTCCTCAGGACGCCTTAAGACCCCGAAGGAACCCTAAGGATTCCTCGGGATGCCCTCAAGGTAGCCTTCAGGATTCTCCAGGACTCCTGCGCATTCTTCAGGATCCCCCAGGACCCACAAGGATTCCTCAGGATCCCATAGGCTTCCTCTGGGCTCTCATCATGACTCCGCAGGATTCGCTAGGATTCCTCTTGGGCCCTTCGGAATTCCTCGGGATTCCCCCCGAGCCCCAAGGATTTCTCAGGATTCTTCAGGATCCCACAGGAACCCGTGGGACCCCCAAGGGTTCTTCAGGATTCCCCCAGGGTTTCTCAGGATCCCGCGGGCCCCCCAGGATTCCTTTGGATATCTTTGAATTCTTCAGGACCCCCAAGGACCCCTCAGGACACGTTAGGATTCCTCTGGACCCCCAAGGACTCCTCAGGGTTCACCAGGACCCCCCCCCTCCAAAGAGTCCGACGGCTTCCTCCTCAGGATCCACATTGGTGCCCTAGGATCCTCCTCAAAGGTTCTGCTGGATGCCTGCAGCCTCCTTACGATCCCACAGGATTCCTCAGGATCCCCTCAGGGCACCCCATCAACCCTTCAGGAATTGCCATGGCCTTTTAGCATTCTGCAGAATTGCACAGGAATCGTCAGGACACGCAAGGACTCTTTAGGGTCCCCTGGGCTTCCTCTGGACTCATCAGGACTCCTCAGGATTCGTCAGGATTCCGCAGGATCCATCAGGATTCCTCATGATTCCTCCCGAGAGCCCAGGATTCTTCAGGACCTCACACAAATCTTTTGGGTTCCCAAACATTATTCAGGATCTCGCCAGTGTTGCTCAGGATCTCGCGGGCCTGCTCAGGGTTCCTTGGGATATTTTTGAGCTCTTCAGGGCACCCAGAGATTCATCAGGACACCTCAGGATTCTTCATGGCTCCAGAAGAATCTTCAGGAACCCCCAGACCCCCCCCTCCCCCCCAAAGGGGTCCGAGTTGTTCCTCTCCAGGACCCACCATGATTCCTCTGGGTTGTTAGAGATTCTTCCGGATGCCTAGGCACTCCTTAGGATTCCCCCGGATCCCTCAGGATCCCCTCATTGGGGTACCCTTCAGGATTCCTCAGAGCACCGTCGCGTTCTGCAGGATTCCAAAGGACTCCACAGGACCGACACGGATCCTCTGGGCTCACATCGGGGCAGGATTCCACAGGATGCCTCCCGAGTCCCAAAGATTCCTCAGGATCCCGCAGGAACCCGTTGGACCCCAAAGGGTTCTTCAGGATTCCCCCAATGGTGTCTCAGGTTCCCGCAGGGTTCCTCGGGATTCCTGAGGATATCTTGCAATTCTTCGGCGGTGAGAACGGGGGGAGCCCGTCTCGGGGTGAAACCGGGGGAAAAGCCGACTTTGGAAGACCGACTCGGGGTGAAAGCGGGGGGGGCCCCGCGGTTCTAGGACCCCTTTCTCTCAGGGTCCGCTCGCTTCATGCTAGCATGCTGCGCCCGCGTTCCCCTCTAAGTTCCGCGGGCCCTCGGGCTCTCTGCCCGACAGGCTCCCGCGCGCAGGGCCGAGTGCCGCAGGAGACGTGCGAGACGCGGCCGGGAGGCACCCCAGAAAAATCCGCATCCCTCTCGACGACGGCGGCGGCGCTGCCGCCGCCGCCGTCGTCGTGAGGGTCCCTGAGGGAGGCTTGTAGCTTTCGTCAGGAGTCGTGAGGGTCCGTGAGGGTGTCTTAGCTGCACGTGGGGCTAAAGAAGGGGGTAGCGCACGGGGAGCGTGTTCTGTGGAGGGAACAGCACAGATGACGGTGCACACGGGGCCAGAGTGTACGTTTGCCCACCGCGGCGCGACACCGCCGCAGATGGCCTCTCGCAGGGCCGGAGAAGTCGTCGTCACACAACGTTTCAGGACGGGGCCGGAGTGTGCGCCCGTCCACCAGGGGAGTGACACCGGAGGCTCCGGCCCTGCCCGGGCCCGGAGTGTACGTTTTTCCGTTGTTGTTTGTGTTGTTGAACTCTTCACTTCTGAAGAATATATGTTGATCCCCCCGTCCGGTGCACATTGATTTTTGTCGATTGAGTGCCCTTCCCAGGGCTCGCACCTTGTTTTCTTTCAGGGAAAGTCTTGAGGGTCAAACTGCGTTGTTGGCCCCCGGTTTACAACAACAGCGGCTCCCGCCTGATACTTTTTCACAGTGTATTGAAGAATCGCGCTCACGTTTGGGACTTCCTTGCAATTTACCACAGGATCGCGGCTTCCGCTTGATACTTCCTCACAATGTATGAAAGAACTTATTGTTCAGTGGCTGGCGCAAGCCATGGCGCAAGCTGAATTACCACTCGCAGCGCAAATCATCGTCCTCCCTCTTTCTTGCCCCTCCCCTCCCTTCCTCCGATTTCATCGTCCTCGCTATCCCCCGTTATCTGTCACCCTTCGTTTTCAAGGGCTTCACCAACCAGACCTGGCAGGGAATGAGCATACCCCAAAAAAAGGGCACGATCGAAGACGAAGAGGGCGGGTATCCAGGGTACGGGATATGCATATTGAATGACACGCGAGCAGATGAGAGCGAGCAGTCTTACGATAATTGTTGTTGTTGTTGTTGTTGTTGAACTTTCACTTTTGAAGAATAGTATTGTTGATCCCCCCCGAGTGGTGCACGTTGTTCCCCACATGTTTCGTGGGGTTCTGGTTTTCTTCCCTGCCGCGCCGCCCCCGCGTCTCACCCGCACACCTCCCTCTCCGTCTCTCTCTCTCTCTCACACCACACTCTTCCCCCCCTCCTCACAGCACTGCTCAGCACAGCTCAGCTCAGCTCAGCTCAGCACGTCACAGCTTAGCGCAGCTCAGCTCAGCACAGCTCAGCACAGCTCAGCTCAGAACAGCACAGCACTGTTCAGCACAGTTCAGCTTAGCTCAGCTTAGCTCGGCACAGCACCATCCAGAGCGCAGTAGGCATGGCCTTCTCTCGGCCCCATGGTGGTGCGCAGGGGGTGGTCTCACTATGCGCGCCTCTCGTCCAGGGCACAGCAGACGTGGCATGCTCTCGACCCCATAGGGGGTGCGCACGGGGTGGTCTCCCTATGCGCGCCCCTCGTCTAGGGCACAACAGGCGTGGCATGCTCTCGACCCCATAAGGGGGGTGCGTAGGGGGTGGTCTCCCTTTGCGCGCTTGTCGTCGCAGGCGTGGCATCCTCTCGACCCCATAAGGGGTGCGCAGGGGTGGTCTCCCAATGCGCGCGTCTCGTCTAAGGCACAGCAGGCGTGGTTCTCTTTCGACCCCACAAGGAGGTGCGCAGGGGGTGGTCTCCCTTTTGCGCGCCTCTCGTCCAGGGCACAGCAGGCGTGGTTCTCTTTCGACCCCACAAGGAGGTGCGCAGGGGGTGGTTTCCCTATGCGCGCCTTTCGTCCAGGGTACAGCAGGCGTGGCATGCTCTCGACCCCATGGGGGTGCGCAGGGAGTGGTCTCCCTATGCGCGCCTCTCGTCCAGGGCCCAGCAGGCGTGGCATGCTCTTGGCCCCATAAAGGGGGTGCGCAGGGGGTGGTCTACCTATGCGCGCCTCTCGTCCAGTGCACAGCAGGCGTGGCATGCTCTCGTCCCCACAGGGGGTGCGCAGGGGGTGGTTTCCCTATGCTCGCCTCTCGTCTAGGGCACAGCAGGCGTGGCATGCTCTCGACCCCACAAAGGGGTGCGCAGGGGGTGGTCTCCCTATGCGCGCCTCTCGTCCAGGGCACAGCAGGCGTGGCATCGACCCCACACGGGATGCGCAGGGGGTGGTTCCCCTATGCGCGACTCTCGTCCAGGGCACAGCAGGCGTGGCATGCTCTTGGCCCCATAAAGGGGGTGCGCAGGGGGTGGTCTCCCTATGCGCGCCTCTCGTCCAGTGCACAGCAGGCGTGGCATGCTCTCGACCCCACAGGGGGTGCGCAGAGGGTGGTCTCCCTATGCGCGCCTTCCGTTTAGGGCACAGCAGGCGTGGCATGCTCTCGACCCCACACGGGGTGCGCAGGGGGTGGTCTCGGCATTCCCATGGGACTCCCATAGGATTCCCATCGGATTCCCATAGGATTCCCATAGGATTCCAGAGCTTCGCTGGTGCAGACATTGCAATATGGCATGAAGGATGGATCCATCTCTGATAGTGGTGGAGTTTTGTGTTTTTTAATGAAACCTGGACCGTTGTTGTGTTGTGTTGTTCCGGGGGGGGGGGTCCCCGGACGCCCCGGGGCCTGGGGAGGGTCCCTGCCCCCCAAAGGAGGAGAGCGCTGGAGGAGCCCGAGCGCCGGGGCCCAGGGAATGTCCCTGTCCTTGTTGTTGTTATTGTTGTTTTGTGTGTGTGTGTTTGTGTTTGACTGTGTGTTTGTGTGTGTGTTGTGCGGTGAGTTGCAAGGTGCGTTGGACATTGGTTTCCCGTCCCGTAGATTCCGTCTCATAGGACACACACTGCACGAACTATATCATACAGAGCTTACCCGATGCATTCTGCCTCTTGAACCCCGTAGAGTGCACCCGGCCCGTCCCAGAAGCTGCATCGCATCGAAACCACCTCAAGAGTCACACAGTCGCTAATGGGGGCCCACTCGCCGGCATCATCATCTGAATTGATACGACTTTTCTTATATTTTTCGGAGTGCCTGTCTAATGGGGTTGGTGCCAATGCTGTGGTCTTTACGAAGGTAACTGCGCTGCTAACAGTATTCGCAGAGTCATCATGACTGTCATGTCTGTAGCTGCGTCGCTGATGCAGCAAACGTGGCACAAGCAGTTTGATAGAAATGCCGCCACCAGTTCAAGTAACGCTATTGTGGTGATGTTGTGTCTTCCCCGAGGCGTGGACGGCGGACAAGAAGAAGTGGTGCTGCAATTACGAGCAGCGTGGTTGCACCACCAGCACGACCTCAGCGCTTGCAGTTGATGCTTCACATCAATACGGTTCCCAGGCAGGCCTCTGCTGTATCTTTGCAATCCATTTGCTTTACACTTGGACTGTGGGCCGTCGAGTTGCATCTACACCGCTCGTAACAGCATTGATTTATCCACAGTTTCTGGCGCTAGGCTACTTCGCGGTGTTCTGCATGCGTTGTCAGTGTCATTTTGCTGGATATGTCGAGCAGGCTCGACGCGGGCCATAGCTGGTTCTGTCTGCTTTCTCTGATTCTGCGTTCCCAAGTCCCATGCCAAGCATGCCAATATGAACAACACGAGTATCATTAGTGCGATTATCAATAGCGAGGAGATTACCAAGAGCAGTACACAAAAGAACTCATAGTCCGAGTGTGTTGTTTGGATTTTTTCGCACTGTGCGTATCCATTGCTAAAGAGAATCGTGGAACAATTGGCAATCACATACGCGGTGGTACACAGAGAGGAACGGGGAGAGCTCTCACAGGATGTCGATCGTTGGCTAATGCCGAAGGGCTTTTCCAAGAGAGAGAGAGAGAGGAAACACAACAAGTTCCAAGGTAAATGGAGCTGGGGGGGAAACAGGGCGTTGGATTGGGGTACTGCAGTGGCGCAGTTTTTCCTCGAACGGGTTTCGCTTCGCCCGGTTCTCCTCGCCCAGTTTTTATCGCCCGGGGTCCGCGTCGCCCAGGGCCCGCTCCGCCCGGGTCCTACCCAGCGGGCCATGCTTTTCTTTTTCTCGTTAGGACGGGTGGGGGCAGCGGCGGCGGCGGTTTGCACACATCGGGAACAGGAACATGGCCACGACGCCACCTGTTTGCAACCACCACCACGAACAGTAAGTACGGTGAGTATTCTTCGGGGTGGGCTCACGAGCATGAGACATTCAGCCAAATATTTAAACTTTTCGGGCGATGGACCGCACTCCACTGTGTGTATATCGGAGGTTGGGAGATGAGATCGAAGTGGCAAGGAGAGCCCCCCACCAGGAAGTCGGTTTCGGGTTCGTGCTTGTGCCGTGCGTGCGGGCGAGGCGAAGCAGCGTGGCGAACCCTCCTCCGCCTGGGGCGCCGCCGGGCCAAGAGACCGCCACTTCCCCCCCCGGTTGGCCGGCGGCGACCGGGGGTGTCCAGCCGTGGTGTCGCGATGGTGTCCCGTGGTGTCTTGTGGTGGCCCGTCGGTGGCCCTTCGGTGACCTGTCGGTGTCCCATAGTGAGATCGATAGTGAGATCGATGATGAGACCGATAGCGAGATCGATGGTGGAGTCGATCGTGGAATCGACCGTGAGATTGATGGTGAGATCGATAGTGGGATCGATAGGGAGATCGATAGTAATATTGATAGTGATACCGATATTGAGATCGATGGTGAGATCGATGTTGCGATCGATAGTAACATTGATAGTGAGATCGATGGTGATATCCATCGTGAGATCGATAGTGAGTTCGATTGTGAGAGGGATAGTGAGACCGATGATGAGATCCATCGGTGATATCGATAGTGGGAATGGTAGTGGTGTCGCGTCGGTGTCCCGTAGTGAGATCGATCGTGGAGTCAACCGTGAGACCGATAGTGCGATCGATAGCGAGATCGATGATGAGTTCTATAGTGAAATCGATAATGCTATTGACATTGCAACCGATCGGGAAACCGAAAGTATGATCGATAGTGAAAACTATAGTGAGATTGATAGTGAGACCGATCGTGATATCGATAGTGAGATCGATCGAGTGCGACGTTGGTGTCTCCCCACGAACATCCTTGTCCCCCGAAGGGTGGTCTTATAGGTATGCTTGTCACCCGAGGGGTGGTTGTATAGGTATGTGTGCCTACATACATAGATGGTTGTATATGTATCGAAGACGCCCACGGTGAATCGCCGCCACCCCCTGTCTGTTGGAATCGCTCATGTGGCCGAGAATTGTGGCCAGAGCTCTGTCAAGCTATCTGACCATGTGTCCCCCAGCCGTTGGGGAAACTCTTCGGGGAACACGAGGGGAGCAAGAAAACACGAAGGAGAGAGGACAATCAATGAGAGAGGAGGAGGAGGAGGAGGAGGAGGAGGAGGAGGAGGAGGAGGAGGAGGAGGAGGAGGAGGAGGAGGAGGAGGAGGAGGGGAGGAGGAGGAGGAGGAGGAGGAGGAGGAGGGGAGGAGGAGGCGGAGGAGGAGGAGGAGGAGGAAGAGGAGGAGGAGGCGGAGGAGGCTGAGGAGTAGGAGAAGGAGGAGGACTCTTGGGGCCTCCTGGGAGCTTCCTCGTGGCCTCTTGGAGGCCTCCTTGGGCCTCTTGTGGGCCTTTGGGGGCTGCTTGGGGGCCTCTTTAGCAGTCTTAGGGTGTTCCGACCGCGTCAGACGAGCCGTTTGGGGGGCCTCTCTGACCCGACTTGTGGCCCTCTTTGGATGCGTCAGGGCCGTCGTGGAGACCATCTTGGGAGTCTTGGTTCTTGGGCCGTCTTTGGGCTTGGGGCCGTCTTGGGGGCCTCTTGGGCTGTCATGGGGCAATATCGGAGGCCCCTGGGAGCTGTTTTGGGACCTCTTGGGGGCCTCTTGGGGGCTCATGGGGGCATGTTGGGGGCCTCTTTGGGGCCTCTTTGGGGCCTCTTGGGGGATCGTCTTGGAGGCCTCTTGGGCCGTCTTCGGACCCTTGGGGCCCTCTGTGAGGCCTCTTGGGCCGTCTCGTGGCGATCTTGGGGGCCTCTGAAGCTGTCTTGGAGCGTTCGCAAGCCGAGGAGGCGATACCGCCCAAATACTTCAAATACCTCAGCACAACCAATGACTTTTGCCTCTTGGGGTCCTCTCGGGGGGCCTCTTGGAGGCTTCTTGGG